GGAAAGAAGAGACTTGAAAAGTAAGGGAGAAAGGGAAAGGTATACTCAACTGAATGCAGAGTTTGAGAGAAATGCAAGGTCAGAGGAGAAGGCCTTCTTCAATGAACAGTGCAAAGAAACAGAGGAAAACAACAGAATGGAAAGACTAGATATCTCGTCTAGAAAACTGGATATATCAAAGGAACATTTCATAGAAAGAGGAGCACAATAAAGGACACAAAGTGTATAGACCCAACAGAAGCAGAAGTGATATAGAAGAGATGGCAAGAATACACAGAAGAACTGTGCAAAAAAGATCTTAATGACCCAGATAACCACGTTGGTGTCATCACTCATCCAGAGCCAGACATTCTGGAAGCATGCAGTCAACTGGGCCTTAGGAAGCACTGCTGTCAGTAAAGCTAGTGGAGATGATGGAATCCCAGCAGAGCTATTTAAAATCCTAAACGATGATGCTATTAAAGTGCTGCACTCAATATGTCAGCAAATTTGGACTATCTAGCAGTGGCCCCAGGACTAGAAAACTTCACTCTTCATCCCAAATCCCAAGGGTAATACTAAAGATGTCCGAACTACCGGACAATTATATTCATCTCCCATGCTAGTAAGGTAATACTCAAAATCCTTCAAGCTAGCCTTCAGTGGTATGTGAACTGAGAACTCATAGATATTCAAACTGGGTTTAGAAAAGGCAGAAGAACCAGAGATCAAACAGCCAACATTTGCTGGATCACAGAGAAAGCAAGGGAATTCCAGAAAAATATCTACCTCTGTTTGACTGACTACATTAAAGCCTTTGACTGGTGGATCATAACAAACTGTGGAAAACTCTTAAAGAGATGGGAATACCAGACCGTATTATCTGTTTCCTGAGAAACCTGTAGGTGGGTCAAGAAGCAATAGTTAGAACCTTGTATGGAGCAACTGACTAGTTCAAAATCGAGAAAGGCATACGACAAGGCTGTTTATTATCACCCTGTTTCTTTAACTTGTATGCAGAGCCCATCATGTGAAATGCTGGGCTGGATGAGTTACAAGCTGGAATCAAGATTGCTGGGAGAAATATCAACAACCTCAGATATGTAGATGATACCACTTTAATGGCAGAAAGCGAAGAGGAAGCAAAAAGCCACTTGATGAGGGTGAAAGAAGACAGCAAAAAAGCCAGCTTAAAATTCAATATTAAAAAAACAAAGACCATGGCATCCAGTTCCATCCCTTCATGGCAAACACAAAGGGAAAAGGTGGAAGCAGTTACAGATTTCCTCTTCTTAGGCTCTAAAATCACTGTGGATGTTGACTGCAGCCATGAAATTAGGAAACGAATGCTTCTTGGCAGGAGAGTTATGACAAACCTAGACAGTGTATTAAAAAGCAAAGACACCCCTTTGCTGACAAAAGGTCTGTATAGTCAAGGCTATTGTCTTTCCAGTAGTCATGTATGGATGTGACAGCTGGACCATAAAGAAGGCTGAGTGCCAAAGAATTGATGCTTTTGAATTGCAGTGCTGGACTTCTCCAGCAAGGGACTCTTGAGTCCCTTGGACTGCAAGGAGATCAAACTAGTCAACCTTAAAAGAAATCAACCCTGAATACTCATTGGAAGGACTGATGTAGAAGCTGAAGCTCCAATACTCTGGCTAACCTGATGTGAACTGCTGACTCACTGGAAAAGACCCTGATGCTGGGAAAGACTGAAGGCAGAAGAAGAGGGTAACAGAGGATGAGACGGTTGGATGGCTTCACCAATTCAGTGGACATGAACCTGGGCAAACTCCAGGAAATGGTGAAGGACAGGGAGGCCTGATTAGCTGCAGTCCATGGGTTGCAGAGTCAGACACGACTTGGCAACTGTACAACAGACCAATTAGGTCCAATTACACGCTCTGTGAATTTTGCTCTCCTCTGTTTATCTTATTACAAGCTTCTCATGTTTTTTATTTTCTGTTCCTTTCTACCTGAATGTATTCCTAAAAACATGCAAAGGGCTCCTTGAAGAACTTTATCTTAAAACTATTGGGTGCATAAACTATTGTGGATGTTCAATAAAAGTTTAATTGGACTGCACAAAATTTCTAGCTTTTTTAGTTCAATGAAACTTAGCTGCTAGATTTTTATTTCAACTTGGAATTGCAATGTAGTTTACCTACATATCTCATTCTTCTAATTAATTACTTCAGTGTGAACTCATGGTTTTTGATACACAAAAATAAAAAAGCAAAAAAACCCCACAAAACACACATATATAGGTGTGGACATGTATATTATCGTTTGCCACTCAGTCATGTCCAACTCTTTATGATCCCATGGAGGCCAGGCCTCCCTGTCCTGCAATGTGTATCCTTTAGCTTGTCTGCTGAGGGCTTGGGAGAAGGAAGAACCCAAACAGCAATAAACAATCTACTGTTCAGATATTGGTTTCTAAATACTATACTAAAAGGAACCACGGGTCTTTGGAGAAATGGCTGATTCTAAGGTCAAACAAGCAAAGGATGAACTGAGCCTGGAACTCCTTCGTTATCAGAAAGAAAAGAAGTATTGGAAAGATTGAGAAATGTCAAAAGAACAAAGAAGCCAGGCTGAAGGGCATTCCATTAGCCAACCTGAAAATCTAAATAATGGTAACAGTGGATTATAATCCAAATCTATAATATAGAAAGCCATTAAGTCTGTAGTGATTTAGTGAATAAATTGAAAATTTGATGAAAAATAGAGTAACTCACAAGATCTCAAATTGCCCGCCCAACAAATAATTATAAAGGGAAACAAAAAAACCTTAATGAGAAATCTACATACCTTCTTATTAAGAAGTTACAATGCACCTCATCAGTAATTCCTGGAGAAGGAAATGGCAACCCACTCCAGTATTCTTCCTGGAGAATCCCATGAACAGAGAAGCCTGGCAAGCTACAGACCATGGGGTTGCAAAGAGTTGGACATGACTGAGCACAACACAGCAGCATCAGTAACTGGAAAAATCTAAATTGCATGCCACCTGATAGGGTTCAATGACAAAGAGATATAATCACTTCTGTGATATTCCTGCCAATGAGGAATAACCTGAATTATCAGTAGAAAAAAGTAGCAGAAAGGAAAGAATGAATAGTCTCATGAAAGTAAGGTAGGTGTTCGAGACTGAAAGTGACCAAGGAGACTTGACAATTAAGTGCAATATGTGATTCTGAACTGGATCCTTTTTCTATATAGAATACTATCAGGATTCAACTGGTAAATCACAAATGGGATCCAAAGACTGGATGGTAGTAATGGATAAAGGTCAATTTTCTGATTTTGATGTTTGTATTGTAGTTTTATAGGATATTGCCCTTGTTTGTAGGAAACAGACTAAAGTATTTCTGGTAATGGGACATAATGTCAGCCACTTTCTTTCAAATGAGACGAAGTTTGAAAAAAAGGTTCTCTTTCAACTTTTCTATTAATATAAGCATGAGATTTAGCTCTCTCTTCTAACCTTTCACTGTTCTGTTCTACTAGCCCTGCATGTATCAGGTATTCAATGAGTGCTTCTGAGTTAGTGAATGACAAAAGGAAACCACCGTGGCTGCCATGCAAAAGAGCATCCTGAAACATAGTAAGAATGAAGAGGGGCTTGTTAGAAAGCTACTAAAACAGTCCAGTAAAAAATGGCCTGAATTGGTGAGAATGGTGATGTCAGAGAAGATTACATATATATTTAGAATATGAATTCAAAAGATGTTGTGTTATGGAAACGGAGGTGAGAGAAAGGATGGTGTAAAGGACGACTCCCAGTTTTCTGGCAAAACCAACCTGATGATAGCATTTACTGATAATGGAAACACAAGTGGAAGAATTCAGAAGAGATGAGGAGTGGGACAGCTGAGGACAGTGAGTTATTTTAAATATGCTGAATCTGAGGCACCTGTAAAACACCTCAATAGAGGTACTATACAAGCTGTATGTGTCTGGAACTTAAAAGCACCTATGCAGGCAGTGCAGGGATGAGAAGAGAAGACGGCCTGAGAGAAAACGTCAAGGCCAGTGAATGGAGAAAGAGCCAGAAAAGCTGACTTACAAGGCACAGCCAAAAGAGGGAAGAAGAAACCAGGAAAGTGTGGTGTTAAAAAAAAAAAGGAAAAAGAGAGAGAGAGAGGAGAACATTTCAAGAAGAAGACATAATTGGAGTTAAATGGTGCTACAAAGTCAAGTAAAACAAGGATAGGAAATACCCATTAGATTTAACGAGACTGGCATCATTGCTATGTAAGTGGAAGAAACCAGATGAGTAAGCTGAGAAGTGGCAGAAGGTAAGAAAACTGAGACAGTAACTGTAGACATCAATTTGAGATGGTTCCCTTTAAGGAAAGGGATAAACAAGATGGTAGAGGGAACAGAATCCAGGGTTAAGAGAGGTTTGATTGTTTTAAAATGGAGAAATCTGGACATTTATATGCTGGGGGACCAAAAAAACCACTGAGATAAATTTAATGACAGGAGCAAAGAGAAAACTGAGAATGCAGGTTTTCTTAATTCCATGCTGGAGTTTGTCACAGAGGCCCCAAACATTCAGTTAAAGTGATTTTGAAAGTACAATGGTTATTCATTAGACTACTAGAATTTTATTTAGTAAAGAGTTCTAAAGTCATCCAGCACCATCTGAGGCTCAAATAAGTTAGGTGACTAACTTACCTGCTCAAGGTCACATGGTTACTATATGATAGAGCTATGACCCAGGGGTTTCTGACTGCATGCTCTTTCCATGATCCCAGAGTGACTTTATATACGATCTGGGTATTCTGCAGAAGTGCATTTGGGGTCTTAAGGGTGGTGAAGGTAGGAGAAAGAGATGTGGGTTGGAGAGAATGTGGACACATTCTAGAGTCTGGAATCCCCATTCCTATTTCATGGAGGTTCCCCTTCTGTTTAATAAACTAGGGTCCTGAATAAGATTTAAGGAAAAAAAAAAAGGCAAACAATGATCAAAGAAATGTAAAAATACACATACTTTAAAACTTGCTTACCGGGTAATAGCACTGAACAGTCCACGGATGCGTGCTTTATGTCTAGATACAAAAGCTTCAGTAAATATTACTCCTCTGTTATCAAGATCAATGTGTCCGTTAATAATTTTACCTAGTCGCTGAGTTAGTGCCTGAGGGTAAAGATGGATGAAAATTCTTATTAAAATGACAGAACAAAATTACAGATTTACATTTGTATAGGTTTACCAAAGTCATGCTGCATGCTGATGCTGTATTAATCATACGATTGAGTAATTTCAGCAAGCATGAATTAATAAGATATATAAAGTAAAATGAAGACTTAAGATCTAGGAAACTTCACAATCTTATGGTGAAGACAAGAACTGAATGAGTCTAATAACTCGTATGTTAAAAAACTCAGCTACCTGCTAATAAGGCCTATTTATAGGGTAAAATAAAAGAGATTAACCAGTTTTCCAGATATAGGCAGCCTGAAACACAGACAGCCAAGACATTTACAAGGATCCTGGAGAGGATCCTATATGGAGCTGCTAATACTAACAGAGAAATAAATATTATCCCAAGATTCTGCAACCTAGGGATACATAAGACCTGAAAAGTTATACTCTGTGATGAAAATATTAACAAACTGTGTCCATAAATCTATACTGACAGACAACCTATTTCCTGGTAACCTGAGGAGAGCATTTCTCCACAGCTACACTATGACTGGGATCGGATTTATGAACATATTTGGAAATATTGGACATACTTCCCTTTCCAGGACAAGTTAAAGCTACTTGAGTCAGCCTGGCTGATACTTCTATGGTACATAAAAATGCTTTCCAAACAACTTTTTTTTAAGGATCCATTTTTTTGCTGCCCCATGAGGCATGCGGGATCTTAGTTCCTCGAACCAGGATTAAACCTGTGCCCTTAGCATTGGAAGCTCAGAGTCTTATCCACTGGACTTTCAGGGAAGTCCCCCAAACAACTTCTTAGTGAGCTTTTACAATACTGCCTATGATACTGAGAAAAATTAAAACTGAAAAACCATATATATTTCTAAAATGTATCAATAGCACAATAACAAACCACTTGGTCTGTTTTGATACTTTAATGTAAAACTGACCAATATATATTTTTTTGCCTTCTGTGATTTACATGGATTTACTCATTTTATCAGTCCTGGGTATTCACTGGAAGGACTGATGCTGAAGCTGAAACTCCAGTACTTTGGCAACCTCATGCGAAGAGTTGACTTATTGGAAAAGACCCTGATGCTGGGAGGGATTGGGGGCAGGAGGAGAAGGGGACGACAGAGGATGAGATGGCTGGATGGCATCACCGACTCGATGGGCATGAGTTTGAGTAAACTCTGGGAGCTGGTAATGGACAGGGAGGCCTGGCGTGCTGCGATTCATGGGGTCGCAAAGAGTCAGACACGACTGAGCGACTAAACTGAACTGACTCATTTTATCTTATGTAATTTACATAAACTTGCTCAGGAGCTTAGTCTCCTGAAATGCTTTGTAAAACAGATCTATATGCTTAATGGTATTTTAGATGCAATGAGGAGAAATCACCCACTTAAAATGAGTGAGTAAATCTGTTGCATTATAAATTAATCTCATGCAATTAAGCTTTGGTAATTTCTCTAAGCTGGATTTTCTTAAAGTATACCTAAAATGATTTGGCTTTTCCCTTATTTGTTCCAGTAAATACATAAACAAAACGATCATTTACTGAGTACTTCCTCTAGGCCAGCCATTTCACCTGATATACCATATATATGACATCTCACTGACATCTATGAGAGACAATTATTCCCATTTTCAGATATTTAACTTGAAGTACAAACAGGCATAAAAAATAATTTTTCTGACCCTAAGTTACTAAGCAGTGTCATAGACAGAATTCAAATCATGGTCTGTTTAACTTCCACTGTTCCAAACAGACTTCTAAAATGTTAAACCACTTTAAGAAAACCAAAATAACAAACAAGGAAATAGTCTCTATTTTCAGGCACCATCGTAATGTTAAATTATAATCCGATTTGAGTATTGACACAAGTACCAAAAATTAAGAGATTATAAGCCATTCCTTGATTCCTCTCCCTATCATGCTCTCAGTTTAGAGGAGGAAAAAAGGTGACATCAAAAGAAGTTGGTACTACTGACATTTGGGGAAGAAAATGTTCTCTTGGGAAGGGATGCTCTGTGCACTGCAGGATGTTCAGCAGCATCTGTGACCTTTACCCCACAAGATGCCAGTAGCACCTCTTATAAATCACAGTCTTCGTCAGTTGTTTCTTGAATTATAACTAGCAACCAGAACTGAAGATATCCTTGCTAAAGAAGCATTCAATAAAGATGTACACTTCTAGTATACTTGCTACTGCATCCAAGCAGGCCGAGACCTTAAGTCTACCAAGTTTAGGGTATCTCTGGGTTCAGGAAGATTAAAATCACTTCTAAACAATCTTTACAGAGCCATCAATGTTTAAGTATCCCCCAAATATATTGCTAGAACATAGTCAAAACTAGGAAATAGTTAAAACACTTGCAAAAAAACAAATAATAGTAAGTCTAGCTTTTTTCCATCCTTTCAAACTCACCATTTATTTGAAAAGACAAATTATACCATTAAGGAGAAAAAATACCTGTGTCAGAAAGTTTCCAGGAAGATCATAGGTTTTACACAGTTCTGCTATGGTTACTTGACCACTTTCCTGTAATTTATCATTTACTTCTTCTGCTAAACGGTCCAAATAGTTCCTAATAGTTTAAATTTTAAAAAAAGGAAAAACTCAATTAGGAATAATAATTTTCCTCTATATTTTTATGTTTAATTTCTGCTGCAATAAGGCATTCCCCAAAAGTAATTAATATGGTATGTTTAGGTAAACACCATTCATTAATCATATTCTGAAATTTTTCTTATCAATGTAACTAAATGGAAGGTTAATCAAATAAGAAATAGTGAAATTGTTTTCAACAATTAAAATTCTACAGTCATTTTCATTAAGACTTTTGGAACAATTCTACTTTCAGAGTTAAGCTCAAATGGGAAAGATGATAAAAATTAAGTTTCGTGTTGCCTTAAAAACAACGGAAAAAATTAAAAGTTTATATTATTCCTGAGTATTCCACACAAGTAAGCACTTACTTTTTAAGTACAATAATGAAAATCAGTACTAGAAGAGTTCTAAAAAATGCTGTAGTGCCACAATTATTCTAAATTTAAGTATAAACTTACAAAAAAAACCCACAAAAAGGTACTCTTAATTACTGTACTTACTCATCTATCAGTTGTCCCAATACTAGTTGAACATGTTTTTCTGATTTAACAATGTCACCAATTCTATTTTCAATATGAGTCAAATCCACATTAATTACCTGGAAAATAAGTACACATTCTATTAGTGATAAGTTCATATTGTTTTTAAATTTGAAATTATATATTTTAGAACTTTTAAAAAAATGAAAACTTACTTCCCCTTAGGTGAATTTCAAATTGATTTGAAGTATTATAAAAAATCTCAAACAATTAGGGGCTTTTTGCTTATTTACTTTCATTGCTGAACCTGGATACTTTCACTTGCTAAGAAAGCTTGCACTACAAAATCATACAACTTCAAAGGTCTTTTCACCTCCAGAGTCCCACCTAGATCCCAGGGAGGCAGACAGGAGTGAGAGGGAGCGCCTGAAGCAGTGCAGCAGGCAGGTCCTGACCTGCTGACATCATGCAGTGAGTCTGAGTCTATGACCCAAACTGCCCCCTGCCTCTGAGCAATCGCTGGGCTGCTGCCCCATAGGGAGCCTCCTGGCCCAAGGCCCATCCCAGCCCTGACTCTCTCACTCAAGAGAGGCTCTGCAGGCCAGCATTCAGGTGGTCAAGCCTGCTGACACATCTCAGCCCATGGTGTGATCCATGAGCTTGCAAATAAGTCAGCCAAACCCACTGTCAGCGTTGTGAATGAGGTTTCTCAGCAGATCCCGGCTGGTGGTTCTGAGGTAGCAGACAGATGGGTCCCTGAGCTAACAGCTGGAGGTTGTCAGGCGAAGTAAACTGGAGCTTTGCTTCCCCTAGACACTCCAAGGATAAAGTTAATAGCAGAAGCTGAGCTCTGCTGGAGTCAAGAAATAAGACGACTGCATCTATCACTCCTGAGGTCAAGGAGATCTCCAGGACTGCACGTGAGTAGAAAGACTTGGGGGTCAAAAAGGGAGGGGCGCTATCCCATAATAGGTGCTGTCAATCTCCTACAGGCTCCCATGCTAGAATCCATCTTGGTAAAAAGATGCATAAGTCTATCAGGAAGAGCCTTGGGTCAAGTCTGAGGTGGGAAATGAAGAAAGAGGACTGGCCAGAGGAAATAAAAAAACCCAGGAAAAACTGCTTCCATGTAAGTGATTTAAATCACCTCTCTGGGATGCTCCTCATTAGGGAGGACACCCACACTCTTTCCTGGGTGTGTATTTCTGCTTTATTTTAAATAGACTGCTTCTTTGTTCTCTTTGCATGTACTGTGCTTCCAATAAATTCTGTGTCTGCTTTAAAATGTCTCTTTGTGGAATTCTTTCTCTGAAGAAGATAAGAACCAAGGTCCTCTCACTTGCCAACATCATCTGGTACCATGATTTGGATTGCTGCCAAGGTAATTTGCAGGTCTCACTTCACTATGGCAAGAGATCTCTGCATGCACTATCTTCCTTGCTTCTCCTTTGTATTGTGCCTTTCTTTCTGACTTATCTTGCACAGAAAGGCCTGTTTTTCACTACATATGTTTAACATCCTCCTGGGAAAAGATCTTTTGCTTTTTATTTCTAAACTGCCAGTGCTGTCTTCATCAGGCTGAGTGCACAGGCTCCCTGAGGTCTTATCTTTATTACAAAACACACACATCTGAAATAATTATGCTTCTCAACTCCAATTCCTCCAAGAGTTTTTACTTCTCAGCTGACCCCTCACACTGACCCCAGGCTTTTGCAGCCCATACACTGCTACAGACAGCCTACTGAGTTGGCCAATTCTCAGTAGATCACAACATAAATTTTATAAATGCTCAATCCTGAGGAGTACACCCCAGCGTAGGAAATCTTGTTATAGGACACAGAGGAGATCTGTTGTCTATAAAAGCTTAAGGGAAAACCCAGCAACTGCTCTGCACTGGTTCAAATGTCCACCGTAGGCAGGGAGGGAGAGCACCTTGAAAGGAACCAAAGCTGACCAGGGATGTCTGGTTAGAAACCAGGGAGGGAGTAGAGGATGCTCCAAAGCCCATCAGCATAAAGATCAAAGGCAATCCACAGGATGCTGTGAATCCCTTACAGGTGCCTCCTCGTAATGTTTCCAGGATGCTGGACTTCATTTCTAGGAGTGCTGTTCTCGGTTGCAGGTTATTCAACATGGGAGGATCTCCTTCTAAACCCAAGGAAATACCCCTTGAAAATGCTCCTAGGGCACTAAGTTTTTGTTCTTTCCGTCTGCTTTCAGTTGTAAACACCACTGATGGGACCCCGGGACGACATTTCATCAGCCAGTCTGCCCCTCTTACGAGTGTCAATTCAAGCACTATTTGGTCTAAATTTTAGCTATAAAACTATGAACACAAAAAAAGATACTCTTTTTTGACGTTGTGAGACAATATTGTTTAGATTCCAGAGAAAACTGGTAAAAATTGCAAAACTGGTTCTTTTTTAAATTTGTTTTTAATTGGAGGATAATTCCTTTACAATATTGTGTTGGTGTCTGCCATACAACAATATGAATCAGTTGTAAGTATACATGTGTTCCCCTCCTGCTCGAACCTCTCCCAGCTCCATCCCACCCCTCTAGGTTGTCATAGAGTAGCACTTTGGGTTCCCTGTGTTACGCAGCAACTTCCCGTTAGCTATCTATCTTACACATGGTAACGCATATGCTCCATGCTACTCTCTCAATTTGCCCCACCTCTCCTTCCCCAACTCTGTCCACAAGTCTTTTCTCCATGTCTGCATCTCTATTCCTGCCCTGTAAATAGGTTCATCAGTACCACTTTTCTAGATTCCACATATATGCATTAATAACGTACTTCACACTGTAACAGGCTACAGGTATATCCACCTCACTCTAACTGACTCAAATGCATTCCCTTTCATGGCCGAGTAACATTCCATTGTGTATATGTACCAAAACTTCTTTATCCATTCATCTTGTCGAAGGACATCTAGGTTGCGTCTATGTCCTAGCTGCTGTAAATAGTGCTGTAATAAACACTGGGGTACATGTATCTTTTTGAATTATCGTTTTCGTAGGGTTAAACTTCCAAAATATAAAAGCAACTCATGCAGCTTACTTAATATAAGAAAAATAAACAACCCAGTCAAAAAGTGGGTGGAAGACTTAAACAGACACTTCTCAAAAAAACTGGTTCTTTTGTATAGGCAATTAGAGAAAGTTAGCTTGTTAAAATATTTTTTTCCTTAGGAATCCTGACCTTGAGAGAAAACACACCTAGAAGCAAGCTTGAAGTTCTCTTACTATGTCTTTGAGATACAAACAGAGCCCACTTTTCCTGGGACTTTGCCCTTGGACTAATTAGTAGAACTTCAAGCGACGATAAAAAAAACAAACAAAAAAACACAAAGAGGCATTTTAAACCTTGAGCAAAAACTGTGAGATCTCTGTTAGTCTGGACTTATGTATGTCTCCAGCACGTGTCTTTGGATAATACTGCTGAAATTAATCTGTGTGGCTCACAAAAAACTGCGGAGAATTCTTGAAAGAGATGCGAATACCAGACCACCTTACCTGCCTCTTGAGAAACCTGTATGCAGGTCAAGAAGCAACAGTTAGAACCTTACATGGAACAAGCGACTGGTTCAAAATTGGGAAAGGGGTACATCAAGGTTGTACAGTCATCTGCTTATTTAACTTATATGCAGAGTACACCATGTGAAATGCCGAGCTAGATGAATCACAAGTAGGAAGCAACGTTTCAGGGAGAAATATCAACAACCGCAGATATGCAGATGACACCACCCTAATGGCAGAAAGTGAAGAGGTACTAAAGAGCCTCTTGATGAAGGTGAAAGAGGAGAGTGAAAAACCTGGCTTAAAGCTCAACATTCAAAAAACTAAGATCAGTGCTGTTCAGTTCAAGATGGTGGAGTAGCAGGATGTGTGCTCATCACCTCTTGCAACACCACAAAAACTGCAACTAGCTGCTGATCAACCATTGACAGGAGAATGCTAGAACCCCCCAAATAAGATTTCCCATGTCCAAAGACAAAGAAGAAGCCACAGCAAGATGGTAGGAGGGGGCGCAATCACAGTAAAATAAAATTCCATTCCTGTGGGGTGGGTGACCCACAAACTGGAGAACAAGAATATCAAAGAAGTATTCTCATTGTTCTGAAGCTTCTGAACTCCACATCAGGCTTCCCAGCCTGGGGATCTGACAAAAGGAGCAGGAACCCCCAGGGAATCTGGCCTTGAAGGCCAGTGGAATTTGTCTGCATGGCTTCCACAGGACTGAGGGAAACAGAGACTCTAATCTTGGAGGGCACAAAAAAAATCTTGCTGGCACCAACACCCAGAGGAAAGCAGCAGTGACCCAACAGGTGACTGAACCAAAACTACCTGCTAGTGTTGGACGGTCTCCTGCGGAGGCGTGGGTTGGCTGGGGCTCACCACAGGGACCAGGGCCCTGGCAGCATCAGGTTGGGAAGGTCTCCCTCGCAGTTCACCATTAATGTTATCACAGACCCCATAGGAACCAGAGGTCAAATTGCCAACATCCGTTGGGTCATCGAAAAAACAAGAGAGTTCTAGAAAAACACCTATTTCTGCTTTATTGACTATTTCAAAGCCTTTGACTGTGTGTATCACAACAAACTGTGGAAAATTCTTAACAGATGGGAATACCAGTCCACCTGACCTGCCTCTTGAGAAATCTGTATGCAGGTCAGGAAGCAACAGTTAGCCTTCACTAGATGGACCTTTGTTGGCAAAGTAATGTCTCTGCTTTTTAATATGTCTAGGTTGCTTATAACTTGTCTTCCAAGGAAAAAATGTCTTTTAACTTCATGGCTTAGTCACAATCTGCAGTGACTTTGGACCCCCCAAAAATAAAGTCAGCCACTGTTTTCCCATCTATTTGCTATGAAGTGATGGGACTGCATGCCATGATTTGTTTTTTGAATGTTCAGCTTAAGTCAACTTTTTCACTCTCCTCTTTCACTTTCATCAAGAGGCTCTTCAGTTCTTCTTCATTCTGCCATAAGGGTGGTGTCATCTGCATACCAGAGGTTACTGATATTTCTCCCCGCAATCTTGATTCTAGCTTGTGCTTCATCCACCCCAACATTTTGCATGATGTTCTCTGCATGTAAGTTAAATAAGCAGGGTGACA